TTTACTTTTTCATCCGACACATAACAGATTGGGAAACGTCTTTTAGTTACATGTTATCTTGGTTCTAGATTACACCGACGTTTGGTGATCATCGAATGTTATGCAATTCAACAAAGGACGGATTTCCAGAGTATCAATAGGATATTGTTCAACATTTTGTTTACTACAAACAGCTTATTCTAAAACGTTAATATGTCCTATACTTTTTAATTCCACCTAAAATTAAATCACATTCTGAACAATCGTTAAAAAAAGATATTCTCAAACTTCTGAGACAAATCATCTAAGTAACTAATGATCTTGTTAGCCAATCAATAATTAGTGAATCGATAACTGAGCAAAATTTTAGAAAAATATTATCGCCAACTATAGCAATTTCATTACATCTATCAGCGAAATGTAATCCGTGATTTCATGCTTCAAATTATAATCGCAAGTACTTCATTTAAATTTATGTTTAATTATGGATGAATTTCGAACGTGACCAAATACGCGAATCTTTACTGTTGTAACTGATACAATCGTATGTATAAACATGTCTGAATTCAAGTATATCAGTGTTAAATTTTCAATCCATGTTTGTTTATTTCGGTTTCTCAAATTTTGTATTAACCTTTCTCTAGTATATATATATTTGTCAGTCAATACACACAGATCCAAATACAAAGATGATGAAAACAACAGTTTTATTGATCAGTCTTTGATGGACTTATTAACTCATTTGAATGAATGTAGTGAATTCAGTTTAACTACATATATTAATTCTGATCATTACTTTTCACATTTTATTTAATGTTTTGACTTAAGCTAACACTGTCCCGGCCACTTCAAAATCATTGTTTTCCAAAAAAATTGAGCACTGGGTAGATTCTAGGTGACGGGAATAATATATTTGTACATACAATGTGATTCAACTAACTGACCAATGAAAGTGATCATTGGGTTGACTCGTTTTTCAATTTCTTTCGTGATCGTTGTTTTGCTCGAAATTTGACTATTTTTTTGTAAAGGTGAATACAAGAGTAAAAACTGAAGCCATATCTAGTAAGAAGGGTTTAAAATGAATATGATGGTCATTAGATAATTAAAATAACCCATTTCGTCATTGAATAAAAAGAGAGAATTCAGCAGAAATATTCTTTTCGACGAAACCATTTACTTAGGCTGTATATTCGTATTTATGGTTGTATGCTGAGTATATTACCTTTCATAACTCTGACCCAGAAACTATTCCCATCCTTATATTCTTCTCTTACTCCTTGATTATTGAGTAATGTCATTTGATAATAAGAGTTTCGAATCAATTTATGATGGTCTCTTTGGTTGGATCTGTTCGGAATATAAGTTTTGTGATAGGAAGTGTAGAGTTTCACCATTTGCACAAATGTTTTATTATTGTCTGAGATAGTCTAACTAAAATGAACTCTGTTTGAAAATGAATTTTCAGAACTATTCATTGTGAATACCATGAGATCGGAATCTTGTTAAAGTGGAGATATTGTTAACCTATCCACGATTCAACGCAAAGTAATCAGGAAAGTATGTTCAAAAGTCACCGGTCTTATCATTAGAAAAATAAACGATTTTCATACCACATTTCTTTGAATAAGTTCTTCTGTGTACTTACTGTTTCGATTATATTTTGTGATGATGAACCACCGGATCTACCTACTTTATTTGTATCTATTAGCTCATTAGCTCCTATTATAACCAAATTGAACTGACCGTAATCAACCGTCGATTTCTAAACACATCTTTCGATGTTTTGTCAATGTCGTTTTACATATGGATTACTTATGATCATTTCAAACTAATCAGAAAATTTTATTGTAATATCATACTTTGAGTACCACTGTTGACTATGAATATTCCACATGTTGCCAGGTTATTGAAATGGAATTAGAAATTACTTGAACTATGAAGTGAACTGTCTTTATAATACAGCTGGTATGCTGACTACCTCGAGAAACCAGACGGAAAACGCGGCCTAGCTGTAAAACATTTAGAAAGCAATAAAATTACAGTGAAATACCGCTCTTAATATGACAAACAATTCTTATCATATCTAAGTCCTGGTTACTGTATACTAAAGTTCCACCTAGATTTAAGATGTAACCATAAATTATCCATATTTTAGTCTATTTTTCTACATCATGAATGATTGTCTCAACACACCCATTTATTACAAGTCTTAGTATATCATTTTATGGCTAACAGTGGGATCCAAGACGTACGTCCTATCTTATTTGGGAGTCGTCGGTTAAATGTATCTGTATCCTATTGTTGATGCTTACACTGAGACTCGAACCTAGTATCTTCCACTTCATATACCGAAATGTGATTCACTAAGTCTAAATGTGAACATCAACTCCGAAATCCAGATATATCTAGCTATTGAGTGCAGAATAGGATGAAATGTGTCTTAAATTCTACTGCTAGCTACCCTCCCAACATATTAAATGATTTCTGATGTTCTCCATGTACAGAAACGGTTATTTCTAACTGCTTCAAACCTGAGTGGCCTTTTTTATTATCTACGCTCCACTTCAACTACTGGTCATCATTTCTCATTTGTATGTGAATGCCTATAAGTACGTGTCTGTTTCGTCCCCATGAATTTAAAACGGAACAATTTATGTCAAAGATAATGAGATAACACGTTTTGTTTAAACAACTAATTTATGCTCATACATACACAAATATTAGAAAACTATTATTTCTAATTTCTTCAATTGTTACATTGATACAAATTAATCAGATATGAAATATTTTTAATAGAATTAAATTTTCTGTACGATTAAGTTAACACAATGTATAAATGATCTCGGAAACATTTTTCTATATAATAAAAGACGAAATATACAGTTGTGATTTATGCATTATTGCCGATATGGATATTTAGCGTGAATAGGTAAACTTTTGAACAATAATTTTTGTGTATTTTCACTAGGTTTTTTTAACGGAAGTAAGATAGGCGTGTGTTCGAATTTCATTTTTTCAATAGATTGTCATAATTCACGTGTGACTTAAATCCGGGTGCCAGGTTCTCTGATTTAATTGCACGTATTAAATCACTACGTGTAATGGAATAGTTTAAGTCAAGTGTAGATTATTTGTTATCTGGGAAATAAAATCAGAATATTCTGAGTAAAAATAGTTTGAATTCTTTTGTTTTTTTTCCTGAATGACCCATTTTCTTAATTACTAAATTTTTAAATTACTTAACAACACACCCTTGTGACAATATTAGCATAAATTTAAAACTCCCTAAGAGCTCATATCTTAAACATTTGACCTTATGATAGACATCAAATTAAAAACAATACAGTATTCATTTTGCGTAGTGTGAATTGCAGTGATTCTCGTTTCTAAGTATATGCAATAGGACCGTGGATACAACGAAGCCAACACGTACATAATAGAAGTAGCGCACAACTTAACAGTTTGTAAATTATGTGCTTCAATTCGTTTAGAACATTTTATACACAATAAGGAGGATAGGCCAAAGTACTGGTCAACAAGCGTAATATAAAAAGATAGTTATTTTCATCACTATTGTCACTAATGAATCTTTATTTCTTTTATTATAAATAAATTATAGACAATGACGGATAAAAGTTAAAACGGAGCTATGTAAATAGAGAAAATGAAGAGAAGAGAATGAGATAAAATTAACCAAACGTTTAATAATAATAATAATAATAATAATAATAATAATAATAATAATAATAATAATAATAATTACTATCATTATCATAAATAAGAATGACCAATTGAAATATATGATAGACAAAAGTTAAATAGTCTTGCTCCTTTCACATAGCCTACAGGTATATAAAATGCGGACAAGCGTACAGTCACACGCATAAATATCGGATAAAGCATCAGTGAATGAACAACAGCAAAACTGTGCAAAAAAACTAGCAAGAGGTTTATGTACTGGGGACCGTGGATATGACACATGAAAACAAGAAATCTTCACCTGTTTATAAAGAAGTATTATAGCACTCATCCGCGTGTACCGGGAAAGAAAGGATATATAAGGAAGACAGTAGTAGGTTGTTTCAGTATTAGGGAAGGGGAGGATACACGAAGTATAGCTTACAAAATTACAGGATTACTTGGTATACCATCAAATGAACAGAAGCAATAACAAGGAGACAAAACTTTGATGGGCAAGGAGAAAACGAATCATAGGATTAATCACAAAACTATATAAATAAGTTGTACAATTTTATGACTGATTAGTTGATTGATTGGTATTACATAATCAACATTAGATTTCGTTTCATTTTGATTTACTACTACTGTTTTGACATTATGCTTTTTGTGTCACTGTTAGTCAACGCCACTAAATGAACTAAATCAAGAGCTCTCTGAATAAAAATACAGTACCGCCGAGTATTTAGTGGATTTGACTAGTAGTGTCACAGAAAGCATAATGTCAAAACAGTAGTAGTAAGTCAAAATGAAACAAAATCTAATGTTGATTAAGTAATACCAATCAATCAACTAATCAGTCATAAAATTGTACAATTTATAACTAGAATTAACAACTAGAATAGCGATGAAAAAAGATTCGAAGAGGTATCTTATGATTATTATCATCATAACTAAATAATAACAAATAAATTGAATCAATACACACGGAGGTGTGCACAGTCTTCAGCTATCAATGTACATGTTAAATAGGGAACTGCGATAAAAACTGTGCAAATGAGTTTTTCTTACTAATTTTCTTTTTTTAAATAAAAAATGGAATAAAATTTCATGTTTATGTATATATGTAGTGATAGACGGGGAGGAGTTGAGAAAGAGAGAGTACAGAGCAAAAACTACTTAGTGGAATCAATGTTTGTTAATCACTTGGAAAGCTTAGAATAATACACAGTAAGATGGATCAATTTAGTTAGGTAGAAGCATGGAAGCATTTGAATTAAAGTTTCACCAACTTTTATATTTCACGAATACATGTGTGATTTTTCTAGTCGCAATAAAATTCAATGAGTTGATGTATCGACTGTGAAAAGAAAGACAAAGGAGATGGTAAATGTAAAAATATATTTGAATTTATGAATAAATTATTAATCAGTGAATGGAACAGTAAAAATTATTGAATATTCAGCGACGACTCAGTTTGTGGATGAAGTGAATTAGACGAAGGAAAATTGAACGCAACTTTTTGTTATTATTACTGACTGATGTACTTCTTTATGAAACATGAATAAGTGACTTAGTAGATGTACATTGATGAAAAACTCGTATATGTAATGGCAAATATTGAAATCGTGTACATTGATAAAACGACCTAATAATTTCATGTAGATATGGATGTTACTTACAATTCCAAATTTTTATGAAAGTTTAACATATTTAAATATGTGAACTATGTGTACCATTCCATTTACGTAGTCAAGCATTAATCTTTTTTTACGACCTTTCACAATCACTTTTATGTGTGGTGTTACTTGCCCGTACTTTTTTGTGTATTAATACTGGATCCATGAAACGGACCATTCAGCGGTACTAATGAGTTAGTTAAAGCTCCTTTATCGCGTCGTTCGCCTACAGATCTTCACCAAAAAGAACTTTGAACGTTCAGTGGTATAGTTCAGAATACTGAGTCATTATGGGCATAACATCTAGTCGGTTCAGATATCTTTAAAATAATTTAGTTTCATTCTTATTCTCTAAATAGAATGGTGACTCAACTAGACATTCAAATGTAGTTACACCTAAGACTTATAAAAAAAGCTAACAGCAACTAATATATCTGTAATGTAAAGTTTTAATTTGTCGTATAACATTGCTGAATGTTTGATGATTACTGTAGTCTCAGTTGAAATAAGCAACTTTATTGTGTTCCATTTGGATAAACTAGTCGAAATACCAATCAAGTTGAGTGTTTGTAATTAGTCGTGACAGTTGATGAATATAAAATTGGATATAGTTTTTGAGGCTCCTTAAAATTGAGCATAAAATGTCTATTTTAGTTATTTATTAAAATGTAAACTAAAGAAATAATCATATCGATGTTCATAGCATATATTGTTTAGATCTGAATAAACAAAGGTGGTATCTTTAATATTCCTTCATCATACCGATGAGGACAATTCACCAACAATTCGAGATTCTGAGTTGTACAAAAACAGAAAGTCACTCACCACTTAGTCCATTATCAGGTAGGAAGAAAATCTTATCTCTACAGTCGTGTTTTATTCAGATAGTAGAGTAGGTGCATCCATTGAGTTGAAAACAGTGCATATAGTATGCATCCGATTGCCTGATTCATTCAAATAACAGATAAGGTTAAGCTGACACTCCGTCTATCAAACTAGCAGATACAGTGAGGGGTATGGCTATTTTTCTTTAAATGGATTTGTGTACTGAGTTTCTACCAAAACATCTGTGATGGATACGGGGAAAAAGCGAATGTTAAGACTAATGTTGATTGAAAAGGAGCTGGAATCAGTGACCCACAAAATGAAGGATGAGTATGTAGATAAACAAAACTATAGAGGTTTGATAAGAAAAACTACGCTAACATTTCAAAACAAAAATTATTTGTGAATAAACAGAGATACTAAGCTTATAAAAAACTAGGGCAAATCAATCTCCTGTCACTTACGAGGAACAGAAGACAATGAATCGGGTTTGGAAACTTCATGATCAGGATCTTCCGACCACAAATATACAGGATTACCAGACTTCTGCATAACACTATGCATTAGAAATGAAAATAATATGCAATATGTTTTATCTAGAATGGTAAAATTAATAGGTGGCACATATAATACACTAAACACTTTATTAAAACTTAATTTTTATTTGAATCAGAAACTGGTGCCTATTAGGATTATTCTGTGTTGCCAGTGGTCGATTGTTGAAAACAGCTATATACTGAGAACTCAATATTGTACTAAACACATAATCTTGAATAAAGTCAATATTATTATAACAACGAAATTAATGAATCGATATGAAATATCATGGATAATTACCATTACGAATTACTTATCATTATGCTCTGTCAACTATACATTAGTTAACACTAGTAAGTTAGTGTATATGCCAAGATAATTGGCAGCCCATATCATATTCACTAATCTATTTTTGCAAACCAACCATTAATTAGAACATCAAGAAAACGATACTATTCTAACTTTAATCCTTATGTGATTGATACATTAAATACAAGACCATGGATGCACCATGAATGATAATTCACAATACGCACAAAAATAGGGACATTTACAGTGCAAAATCTTGATAACATGCTTATTAATAATAAATAGTAAGTTGTGAATGGTAGAAGAGATATAGTAACAGGAAATTGGTCGAATGGAAACTTTCAATTACTGCACTACCAAAACATATCAAGAACCAATTATTAAAGTGAATACATATAAAAAGTAAATAAACTGATTTATAGGAAAATAACTCCCTAAGTTATCCATTTACATTTATTCACCTATTTATAAGTTACCAGTTAACAAACACGAAGTAAAAAAGAAGTATAGATTTTGATATTATGCAGAAAAGTGAGGATGTCTCTTCACTCCTGCGCTCAAAGAGCTATCGTGGTGTGTGCTACTTATACGGATACATATAAGCAGTATGTATGGTAGTAGGATTTTTACTGACTGAAGAGGAAACTGAGGAAAAGAAAAAAACAGAAGTAGTCCGAGAAGAAACAGGAATGGAAGAATGATTGAGTATCTAAGAGGCAGTTCAAGGAAGATGGGGAAATGGTGTATTCAATGTATTGTTTATATATTTTACAAATGCAATGTGATTTTGCTAGAAACAATAAATGTTTGCTCTAACCAAGTTTTTCTCACTACACTGACACAGAGAAATGAACTTTTGATTGAGATCATGAATTGATTGATGTTAGACCACCGTTGAAAACCTGGAAATACTGAACAGCCGTTTCATCCTGTTGTGGTAATCCTCAGCAGACCACTTGAGCCAGTATCCAACGGTGTCAATGTCTAACTTCAATCAATCCACGAAATTGCGCGACCATCTTCCAATGTAATGAGGTAGACACCTGCCTACAGGATACGCATTAGCTCCACTGGTCACGGCTTCTCACTAGAACTCCGAGAATCCCCTCACGAAGCTAGTCACTAGTGAGCTTTTAGGTTTCCAATGGTCTCAAATCAATTGGTTCATGATCTCAATCAAAAACCTAATAATCTCCACAACCCCATACTGAGAAATGGAATCGTTGAAGATAATTTTATGCTAAATAATTGGCTTTTACAATTTATCTTTATGAGAGAATTTATGCTAGATACACAATTGTGTGCTGATACAAATTATCACGTCATTGAGTATAAAAAAATGAAGTCTTATGACTACTATGTGAAGTAATCTACCTTAAGGACAGGACGAGAATGCGAACTTCATGAATACTGCTTTGAGTGTTATAATAACAAGAATAGGTGCTTTTCGCCAGTCAAAATAATGTTCTACTGATAGCGTAGGGGGTTTGGTTTGATGCGGTTGAGTGATAACTGTGTAAGAAATAGACTATACTAACTTATTTCTTCTTCACTGAGTGTATAAAGTGGACGACGATCTAAAAAAGGTGAAAAATCCGAATTTTCTCACGACAGCTATCCTCTATTTTTGCCCCGACAAAAGACGCTAATTCCTTATTATTTTGTGGTTCTTTTCAACCTATTTTTAGGACGTTGTAAATGTATTTATGCTCATGATATTCATTTAAATCGATCTGAGTTAGTCCCAACTCATTAGTCCTTCTTGCACGATCAGTTTTTAGAGTAGCCGGAACTAGGAAAGATACGTTGTGGGATTTAGGAGATGTTGCTGTTATCTTTCGACGTGGCTAAAGAATATAACCAGAATTTACACAGTATCTAGTAATACCAAGCAACTATATTCTGATTATATATTGAATATGTATTATTCCCAAACCGTTATAGTGGAGGAAGAGGTAAGAGATGAGTTAGTTACATTTTTGAAGACACAATAAACAACCTGGTTGGGGTCCGCGTGACTATCATAACCAATAGTTAGGGACTTTTGGTGACATGGCTCAGAATAGGTCACAATGGCGTAGGTGTATACATTCTCTGTCTTCCCTTAAAATAAGAGATTAAAATCGCTCCATATCTTTCTTTCTACGACTTAATTCTTTCTTCCTGTACTATATCCTTATATGCAATCTTCCTTTTATATATTATCACCATTGACTTAACTACTCCTATGAATCCGGTGTTCATCTTGCTGTGCTAATGCGGTATGGCAACTTGGACCGATCCATATATGTTCCTGGTCCTACGTTGTAGCTGACTGACTGACTCAGCTGATGATTTTTAAGCTCAAGATTTCGCTGATAGACCCCATCAAAAATATTCCCTAGAAAAGCTTTAATCGTTGGAAGTTTGAAAAAGATGTGTAATTAAAAAGTCATTTGGATATGCATAAAATAGTGATTAGTTACTCATCCAGACAATAGTTTCAGAAAGGAAGGAATAAACCGTAAATGAAACGGGTAAACGTCAGTGCAGAACCTGATACAGAAGCGTACACGTACATTTTCAAAGAGCATATGAGAGGGAATCGACAGAACATGAGTGAATCAGATACAAATACACTGAGACCGAAAGCCTCTGCTTGGTAACTTAGTTACATTTTAATAAAATAGATCAGAACACAGGAAAGAATAAATCTCAAATGAAATTCTATTCTTGTAACAGACTGAACTATTGGTAATTGGGGTACTCTGGCAGCAATTAACTGAGATCTATAGTGAGCTATGCACCAAAAGGACCCTTACCACTAAAATTTACTATGAATAAAATAGTGACATTAAGTAACTGGTATCACTCAAAAAACAACCAAACAACTTTCATCTTACTTTGATCCATTAAGGTGAGGTAGATCATGCTGATAATGCCTAGATGTGTCCGGCACAGAATGCATAACTGAAGATAAAATAGTGTATAAGAAAACCAAAATAGTATTCTTGACTAATTTTGATAGCAAAATATTTAAATAATTTGGTGACCAGTAATAAGGAAATAAGTAATTCCAGGATGCAATACAATAATTATTTTTATCGATAGAAATGCATAAGGAATGTTTAATGCAAGATGCGAGATGATAGCAACCGATAGTTAGAGACCTTGAATGACATGGCTTAAAATCGTTTGCAATGCCGCTGGACTTTCTCAGGGAGCGGTTAATTCACAAATACAATTTAAATTCTATGACGGAAACACGTGGAATACAAATGGTAAACGAAAACGCTGGAATAACAGAGATGAAGAACAGACAAATTAGGAAATCAAACAATTTTGTCCTGAAATATATACATATTTAAGTGATCCATATTTAATCACTCATAGTCGCACTAGTTCGTAATAATATCTGTCCATCACTGGACAACGTATTTGAACTTCGGACAGAGTATATGAATGAATTTTCGCGTGATCATGGATACATCTTACTAATGAGTATAAACAAGTATGAAAATGGAAAGCTTTTTATTGTACTATTTATTGACAGATAATCCACTATAAATAAAGTGCACTGTGGACTACTAAGAAACATATCACTTAAAATATGTTCTTATAATGTACTGAAGTCATAGAAACACGATGTTGCAGAGCTTTACAAATTGATTGATCATTGAGTAGTGACCAATAACATGTATGTCAAACCCTTCTTAGTGCTAGTCGAATTCTATCGACCGCACCGTGGTTACCAATCCCCAAATGCCCTGGTGTGATCGAGGGTGTGTAGAGTCCACTCTCCCTCTCCAAATGTCCCCACATGGCTACGCGTATACAGTCACTGTCAGGGAAGTCCTACTCACTGCTTTCTCGTGGCGGGGGTATTGTTTAGGAGATTGAGAGGACGAAAAGAGAATGTCTGGTGCTCTACCCGGGTTAGTAGATACGGGGAACCATCTGAAGGAGTTGGAAAATCCTGATTTCAAACTAATGGTGTACATAGGTCCAGTATCCTGAAGGAAATGGCGTATGAACGTATTGTTGGTCACCGGCTACTATGGGACTGCATCTCCTAACGTCACTCCATTACCTTGTGGATAAGACCTCCAGGTCAAGAGCACGGGGAGTGGCTCCCTAAGAAAACCACGTGCTTCAGTTTGGGCACCCGGGCAGTATTCTAGCCCTCACAAAAATCAAGTGATTTGTGTGGTGCATGTGTATTTGGTGCCCTCTTGTACCAATGTTTATGCGTTTAAATAAGCAAATAACTAATCTAAGTGTCACACAACAACGTTTGCATTATGTTGAGAGGTAAGATAGTATTTAGGGGTAGTCGACAGTGAACCCTGCATGACATGGGTTTCGTCCTATTTGGTACTCGTCAGCGCAGCGTACCTGTAATCTCGAGGCAACTAATGCTCTCTGGAAGTTTCGATCCCATACCCCTCAGCTTCATAGTCAGACGTTACCACTGAACTATTCAGGCCACAAGGAACTCTTGTAGTGCTGAGATTTATTTACAAGTGATTGGTTATTAAGTAATGAAAAATGTAGTAACTCGATACAGTATCGAATTCGCCAGAGAGCAACAATTCCCTTTAGGTTACAAGTACACCGTGCTGATGAGTGTCAAATGGGAAAAACCTAAGTCAAGCTGGGTGTTCTGTCGACTACGTCCAACAATTACTTTAAGTATTACAGAGTATTGTCCTTATTATTATGTAACAACTAATTCATAAACCATATTCAATAAATTTTAGATAATTTAAATGAAATCTATAAAATACAGATATAAAACACAATAATATGTGTTTACTTGAAGAATTATTGTTTATATTTACAGAATCACCAGAGTCCTGAATAAGTGTACTATTAACTGAATAGAAACTAGACACAGTAGAATCACTATGTTCATGATGTTGAGGCCAATTATCATTTGTACTTTGATCATTTTGTATTTGAGAAGAATTACGTCTGACAATTGAAAATAATATAAAATTAGTTTAAACTAATAAAATTTATAATGAATTAAAATACAATAGCAACAATAAGCAGAGCATAACATCAACTAGAAAAATTTCATTGGTAGGAATTAAAATTAAAGTTGAGGAGATGAACAAATATTGTGAATTATTTCAATCAGGTTAATCATAGGCAACATAGAACTTAGATAAATATGTCTACAAGTTTTAGTTACGCATAAGAGATTCACACGTTTGAACAGTCATTAAAAGAATGAAAGGGTGAGAGTGAAGACAGCATATTGTTACTTCATGGTTGACTATTAAGAAAGGAGACTTATTATGTATGGATAATTTGATTCAAGGGTTTAGATGCATTCAGCTAACGCTTACTACAATAGCCAACATATTTTGCTTAGTGAAGTAAATATCTGCTCTACTTACGGCTTTTTATTGAATGTATGTGCTGCTAAAACCCAATTAATTCCTTCGTTTGCTTGTATTTTCTCACATTTCCATTTCTATTCGAATTCGCTTTGTATGGTTGTGGTCATGTGATCTGTGCTGTACAATGATAAACTGTAGTCAACACTTTGTATTGTTTTCTGAAATTTATAACGGTTGTCAGGACGAGTGACATGCGGTGCACTAAGAATTATCCCGAAGATATTCCACCACACAGTAAACCATGAATGTCCATTTTATAGATGTGTAGCAAGCCCATTTAACTATTGTATCATTTGTCTACTCACTGTAATTCAGACACTTCATTCACTATGTTAATTTCTGTGTGTGTATGATTGAGCGCGTGTCTGCACATTAACCTAAATCTATTCTCCTATTGGTTGTAACATACAGATAGTCAATAATTTATCCACATTTGATTGACACTCAAAAATATACATGGATTTTTAACTCTCACACATTCTCTTAGTTTCAGTGTGCTTGCTCACTGTACGCTTGTGGATTTTATTTATCTTGAACAATAAAATATCTCTACAACTGGTGTTCAGGCCTCTGAATAATCTCGAGTAAATCCATAATTCTACTAGGAGAGTTAGCCTACCTTAAATATTCAGTTAACGGGATATCATCTATTGGAGTCAGATATAGAAGAAATTAGCCCTCAACAAGTGACGTAATTTGGTAGAATGCTTTATGAAAAGTAAACCGGCTTCAGTGAACAATGAATCGAACAAGATATCGTAAGGCGTAGTACAATGATGTGATTTGCAGGGAACCGGTAAGAGCACGCAAGATATAAGTACAAGGAGGTAGCGACACACATTAAACTGATCGTAAAAGATTAGAGAAACAGATAGTGTAGTGTTATGCAAGTCCACACAGCTTATTCTATCTTCCGAACAGGTCAATTTATTCATTCTTCTTGAGTCACTTTTTAACCTTGTTAATTATTCGCTTGTCAGCTTTGATTGTTGTTAAGTAAGCATATGTGTGTGAATTTTCTATCTTACTCATCACATGTCTGTAACTTATTTTTATCTGACTATAAATATCGATTCATGCTTGGTTAAATCGTGTTGGTTCACACGCCTTCTCCACCGCGCGCCATTTCGCTTCATTTTCTTCGCTTCGTTTCTCCGATCGATTGTCTGTTCAGGTCAACGATTGTATGAATAAATACGTATTTAAACTTCGTTTTCATTCACTCACTAACGCGAATTAAGTCGATTATAATATACAAGGATTGACGACATGTATATTTTGATAACATTCAATCATACGATATAACTGGAATCAGATTTAGGGCCACTAAAATAGATAATAGACTATTTAAGTGAACTGAATGGTACACACAATCTGAATTCGCATATGTATACATATCAAATTATTTTATAAAAAAATTGAAGACACTAACTCAACATTACTAAGTTGCTATTTTGACAATCACTCTTGATTATGTTTATCCACTTAATATGTCGGTGGTATTATTTTATTGTACTCTTAAATCACCGTTATTGATGTACACCTTTTTTGAGTAACCCTTTATTGGAGTAAACATAACGCTTTCTGATGATATATATATGAAAGGGTAAAATATGAATCCATAATGCATATTGCAAATATACGATCCTTTTTTCAGAAGAAAAATGGTAATTCACCTTAATCCAGCAACAGCATCTTTAGCATGTGCAGACAAACGACCTGCGCCTAGCATAGATTGCAATAACGCAGATTTGAATTGTGGTGTTCTATGACTAGCACTTGAACTATTCCTTATCATTGTCAAATCTGAATTGCTTGTCACTTGTGTTGTTGCTTCTGCATCAGTCACATTACTTAATGGTGCATTGTTATTATTGTTCGACTTTCCATTGATGGTAGTAGTAGTAATAGTAGTACTGGAGACGAGATCTTCAAAAGTGTTATTTACATTATTTTTCAAATCGTTTTCAGTAATTGTGTGTGAAAAAGATGACTGGTTGACAGATTCGTCATTAAGTGAAGACTGTAATCAAATAACACAAAATGTGTATAACGATTAATTTTATTCCTTCAAATTTATTGAGGATATTCTCTATAAAGAAATATCAATCAAGATTTAAGTATTAGGATTCAGCTGAATTATTATTATTTATTATTATTCATGGCCTTATTCAATATATTTTTGGTACAATCTAGAATTCTCAGCACAAAGTATTTCAACAAGTTTCGTTTTCTTATTTCTTGATGGATTCTGGTGATAAATGTTGAGTAATCGTCAGTTAGATGTTAGCAGTTCAGGAATCGACACTTAGATAATGTTCATTTTCTCAATGCATAATGCCAGCCACGCGATGTCTCTGACTGTACATCTTGTGACTTGTACAGAGAAAGGTCATAGGCTTTTCATAAACGCTCCTGAAGAGGTTATGCGATTAATAGACATAATGACGTGTTAAAACGAACAGAATGTAGATAACTTTATAAAATATCTAGATGAAAGGTACAGGTAACCCAGATCTTCAAGTAGACCTCTATTTAGCATTGTTAATTTAAATACTAATTAATAAATGGCTTCCAAATCAGTGATCTGTTTACGTGGAAAAGGAAATACGCTACCAATAGTCTAACATATTCATGTTGGTTGGCAAGCATCAGCGGAGAATAAATGTCGCACTGTAAATGTACAAGAGTCGGTAGCAAAAACGTTTAAATTTGATAACAATTAGCAATCAAACTGATGTTTTTGTAGAAGTGCAAAACTCTGTAGGTGCAGTATCGTTCAAACTCACGTTTCTCTAGCCATAGAACTAAACTCGTGAGCCACCGTAAGTCATATAAATCTATTTCAAATATAAACCTACCGAAGATTCATTCACCCTTCCACCGTCAACAGTAAAAATGACTCTGCCATTAGAAGTTTCATAAATCTCTGATGGATTGATCCCCACCTTAGGTGCTTCAACACCTATAGTTGGTTCTTGGTTAACGATTCTATCAGGCGAAGCACAAGTAGTATCAGGCACTAAAGATGACTGTGTGGTATCCGTTGATTGAAGATTGGTTGTAGACCCAGATTCACTAGTTGCCTCAGATGTTAACTTCATTGGTCTTTTGACACGAGACATAATACTGTCCAACTTTTTCTTGCGTAAAACTCTTTCTTCTTCACTACGTTGCAATTTTGCAAGGCGCTCTGCTTCTTCTGCTTGAAGCTAAAATAATTATAGTACAAAAGAATGAGAATACTATTACACATTAAAGTAGTAACCATCGAAATCACATTTAATGCTTTGACATTGAAAACTAATCCAAGAGTTTTAAAAAGCCATAATTAAACAAGTACTAAAAAGATTATTTATGTTATATTAAAGTACATTCTTCGTGTACAAAATAAAAAGCGATATGGTAAAAACCAATAGAATTAAAAGCTATTTTATTATGTTACAAAAACCAATATTTCACTAAATTACATTAAGTTTACACTGGATAAAGTCAAATAATTACATCTTTGAAATATAATACAGGTTATTTGTAAATCAATCAAGATATTTACACGAGAACTGGAAGCTCTTACCTACATAAATGTGTACAACCTGATTTTTAGTTTACTTCACACATTAGAGATTATATGCCACACTAAAAATTCTGGAACTTGTTCTTGATAATTAAATGCAAACTGGAACTATTTAACATTGTAATTCAAGATGAAAATCTTGATTGAAATTAATATTAAGAGTAAATAGATAATAGTTTCGATAATCATAGAACATGAAATACTCTTATTTATCTTCATAGAGAAATGGTAGGATAAAGAGAAATAATAATTACCCTAGCGGCTTCTTCCGCTTCTTTTGCACGTTGAGCTTCTTCAGCCTCATGAAGAGCTTGCTCCTCCCTTAAACGAGCTTCTTCAGCCAAACGAGCGTCCTGTTCTTCTTTTAAACGAGCTTCCTCAGCTTCGGCAGCTAAACCAGCTTGCTCTTGTTGGATTCGTCGATTACGACTCTCCTCTTCCAATCGTCTAAAAATATATATAATTTCTAAATCATATTAAACAAATAGATTAAGAAATAATAGTGAACAATGCTTAAAGGTGAATTGTGCTATATGAACGAGCTGGCTTTTTGTTCATCGGGTAATTAATGTACAGACATAAAACCATTTACTACATAAAAACTCTCAGTAGCATACATGTATATTGTTTAAACCTTTTTTGGTGAATGTAGTCTTTCTCGACGATTATCACTTAAGTCTATTCTATTGTATTGTATAAGGTGTAGGAGGAACTGAGGTCTCATGAATTTGGAATACTCTATGCCCAACTAGTACATTACTAGTTCAAACACGAGTAATCTAAAATAATAAAAGGATATAAGGATTACTATCGATCAACAGTTAATTGATGTTACGTAATTTTGTATACGAAAACTTGTTTGAATATGCAGGTGAATTATTTATTTTAACGAATTCCTAAATTAACATAAAAACTAGGTATAAGAATTCTGGTCAAAATACCGAAGGAGATCTCGGCAAGTGTGATAACTACGGGGGCATCACTCTTCTCTCAGTACCAGGAAAAGTCTTAAACAGGGTATTGTTAAACAGGATGAAGCACTCCGTAGACGCCCAACTTCGAGACAAACAGGCAGGATTCCGTAAGAATAGATCGTGTACAGACCAAATCGCAACTCTACGGATCATTGTGGAACAATCGATTGAATTGAATTCGTCACTCTACATCAACTTCGTTGACTACGAAAAAGCATTTGATAGCGTGGACAGAACGACACTATGAAGCTTCTTCGACACTACGGAGTGCCTCAGAAGGTAGTCAATATCATACACAATTCTTATGATGGATTAAACTAAAAAATTGTGCATGGAGTACAGTTGACAAACTCGTTCGAAGTAAAGATCGGTGTCAGGCAAGGTTGCTAACTCCCACCCTTTCTCTTTATCCTGGTGATCGACTGGATCATGAAGACGTCAACATCTGAAGGGAAGCACGGGATAAAGTGGACATCTAGGATGCAGTTGGACGATCCCGACTTCGCAGAGGATCTTGCTCTTCTATCGCACACGCAACAACAAATGCAGAAGACGACCAGTGTAGTAGCAGCCTCTGCAGCACTAGGTCTCAACATACACAAAGGAAAAAGCAAGATTCTCCGATACAACACAGCATGCACCAATCCAATCACAATTGACGGAGAAGATTTGGAAGATGTAAAAACCTTTACATATTTGGGCAGCATCATTGATGAGCACGGTGGATCTGATGCAGATGTGAAGGCGCGGGGATCGGAAAAGCAATAGCAGCATATTTACAACTGAAGAACATCTGGAATTCGAAACAACTGTCTGTCAACCAACACAAAAGTCAGAATTTTCAACACAAATGTCAAGACAGTTCTACTGTATGAGGCGGAAAAATAGAGAACTACGAAGGTCATCATCCAGAAGATACAAGTGCTTATTAGCAGTTGTCTACACCAAAATACTTCAGATCCGTTGGCCAGACACTATCAGTAACAAACTACTGCGGGAGAGAACAAACCAGATCCCAGCCGAGGAGAAATCAGGAAGAAGCGCTGGAAGTGGATAGGACACACATTGAGAAAAGCACCCAACTGCGTCACGAGACAAGCCCTCACTTGGAATCCTCAAGGCCAAAGGAGGAGAGGAAGACCAAAGAACACATTACACCGAGAAATGGAGACAGACATAAGAAGAATGAACAACAATTGGATAGAACTAGAAAGGAATGCCCAGGGCAGAGTGGTTCGGCGGCCTATAGCTACATTGGGAGTAACAGGTGTAAGTAACTAAGTAAAATAATAAGAACACACACACTCACCCGTCTCCTTGTGTTCTAGCTTTCTCCGCGCTTGTGGATTTCTACTAAACATTAAAAATAAACTATCTCTACAACTGGTGTTCAGGCTTGGAACGATTGCTGAATGTTCGCATATTTAAGGTCAAAATGAGTGTTTTTAGAAAGTCTCTCATATACATTTCTTGCTGCTATTTCCTCATTTTGTATATTCCAACCCATAGCTTATTATTATTGCTACTGTTCAAGCATAACCCGATATAACATTTATCAGTACCATAGAACGTACGGTAAACAAGCTAAAAGTATATATATATATACTGACCTTTTTTCTTCTTCCATTCGCTCTTTTGCTAAGCGACGTTGTTTAAAAAGTTTTGCACGATAAATTGCTGCTTCATTTTCAGATAAAATGGCACCTTCACCTGAACCACGTGTCTCAGCCTTAATTGGACCTATTTGTGCAACAGTGGACGAAGTTTCATTCTTTACATCATTAACTTGAGATGAAGGAGATGGAGTAGAGTCGATGCAAGGCACTTTTGTAATAGAGATATCTTCAGCTACTTGAGTAACACTTTCTGACTCAGATGAAGACTGAGGTAACGGAGGAAGACTGGAAATAGCTGTTTCTGGCTCCTTCAAAATGAATGAAATATCAACCATATAATTATACAAAAACATTAAACGGAAAGATAAAACGTATAACCGATTTTCTTAAGATATTTAGACAGATTTAATTATATAAAGTATTTAGCATACGCTTCACGAATGAGACGAATACTACGAGTTAAAATGTAGATAACTGAGACAATTTGATAATAAAACAATAAATAACTTGAGAAAGTGAGTAGTAATTCACGTCCAATAAAGCTATCGACAAATGTTATTACAACATCGTAATATTACTGTACAAATAAACCATTTTCCAGGTTCACGCTGGAAATGAAAAGCTCAGCATTCATTTAAACAGTTTTAGGCTTAGCTGAATGCTTCTCTACAAAAGTGTATAATCATAGATGGATAGATTTTTGACGATATCAAAACGACATAACGATAGGCATTCAGAAGGAAAGTATTAGTACATATTATTGGAATTAATAGCTTATGACGACAGTTTACTGTCCCCAATTAAGAGCGGTGGTCTATGTAAGTGGTTTAGAGGAGTATGTTTGTACAGCTTTCAGGAAGCATCAATTCTCCGACGTTTGACTAACGTTTAACTAATCTTCAAGCATAAGGGATTATAATAAGGACGAAAGGATACAGACGGACAATGATAGTATTTATAACAAAATAAAGTAAGACTCAACTTCAGAAATGAAAATAAATGTGTACTAAAAGTGTGTAAGTCCCGTCCGTTCTGTGTACGAAAGATAATAATACTCTAACACAGAATAATAACAAGAACTACGTAGCGGTTCATGTTACAAATGATCATACTACAGCTATATATAAAAGAGCAATACAGCCTGATATATTAATAGTGTAAAAACAAACTTTAAAAATGTCCAAACAAATCAAATACTAACCTGGATTCTGGTTGGATAAGAGGGCGGTGAGAGGGGTTTCGAGGGGAGCACTGGTTTCTTCTGGTGGCGCAGATGTAGCGCATCACCAGAAACGGATTTAGACATCACAGGTGGCACGACAGAGTTACCATTACGTTTGGATTCTCGAATAGATTCTGGAAAGGTAATTAAAATAAGATGGGGAAACAGTGTAAATCATTTTTAAAAATATTTGTTTGTTTAATTATTAGTACTGTTGTGTGTTAAATATGTCGACAAATATAAATCGTGTGTATCATCAATCGAAAGTGAAATGTCTGGCGGTAGAAGGTTAAGAAGATCAAAGAAAGGAGAACGAGAACATACAGTGATTGGTGTGGAAATAGAGGAACAGCAAAGTATGAGACAACTGATTGATATTTTCGTACGTAAATGAAGAATTTACTGTATGGTTCTTAGATTTTACTATGAGATTCTGTAATTCGGTTGTACTCACTGGTGTTCTCGTTCACTACAGTAGCAGCTTGTTTATCTATAAGTACAGTGTCAGAAGAATATAAATGATGGTAGCTTATGCAAACACATTATTTCATACTTCTGGAAACCAACTAAAAGGTCATTAAAATACGGGTAATCCTATAATACGTAGTCAGTCAGTTGGTTAGTCATTATCGTCGAGCCTAGCATAGATGTGTGTTGACTACGTCTCCATACCGTACTAGTACGAGATGAAATTGATATGATTAATAGCAAAGTAAATGGGAATAAAGACAGGTTGCCTGAATTTGCCACATCCATGTGTATTAACCAGTTCAACTGCTCCTGTGGAGCCAGGGCGTACAATTCGGCAAGTTCGTGAGAACGATTTTTAGTCACGTCAATCAACGTCTTCGACAAAGATTGCTGTTATCGTGTAAACCTCGATCAGATGATCCGCGTCTACCAACATAGATCAGACAAACAATCAATGATTTCCTGGACTTATATTTACGTGTTCTTTGAAGTGACTGTTAGTTAATAACATAGCCAGGGAGGTAATAAAAATACCGCTTCGAATAAGCATCGGTAACTTAAATGTAGTCAGTATTGATATTTACACAGAAAATAGTTTCAACATACATGAGAGATAATCAGAAACCTCAGCTAGCTCAGTTTAAATTTAACAACTTATTAAGTTTACGATGACAGAAAGCGATGAAAAATAACTATAAGTACTTACAAAGTTTAAATCAAGAACTGGTCTTAGATAGACCACCACTGAATACCTGAAAGCACTGGACGGCAGTTTTGTCCTAGTATGGGACTTCTCAGAATTGTGGATTTAGGTTAGTAGTTCGCAGGCGAGACCGAAAGTCTTGGGTTTATTTCTCAGATGCAAGGTCATGGATGCTCACTCCCAAGTTTCATACTGGAACGAACCAGCTGTTTAGTGCTCCCAGGTTCCCAATAAGTTGCCCAACTAAGACCAATTCATGATCCCCTATACTAAAACTAAATACTTGTTAGGTTGGTGGTGATGTTTATGTATTCTACGTACACCAGCCGGTAAATTGAAAAAGAAAGGACACACGATAAAAGTGAATACGAACAAGTTTGTATACAGGTGTGTTCTCACACACACATGTCTCTCTTCAGAGATAAGCTTTTTTAAAATTGCGCTTTGCTTTGTATATATAGTTTCTTGTCCATAGAAAGTGATCATTATCCTTTTAATTTTTCTCATCTTGTTGAGAAGGACTGAGTTCAAATTATCTGAGAATGTTGATCATGTTTGATTTTACATTGAACAGATCAGTTTGTCAGAAAAATTATAACTCCTTAATCCTAGGTATTTTCCAATGGTTAAAACTCCACATTATGTTTAATGACTAATTTTCCCTCGTTGTCGTCATATTTCGTCGTAGATAATTCAAGTGCTGTTTCGTGAGTTTTTTTTGTATCAATTATTTATTCTTCCACGTAGTTTTACGTATTTGCTATGTACTATGTACACATGTTCTCTGTAATCCAGAAGTATTTTAACGAAGAAAAAAAGTCCACTAACTCATTTAAATCGATTATTATACGGTTATGTGATTAAGTAACGTGGTTCATTATAATGCTTCTATAAAAATATTTTATTTACGTAAAAAATCATGTGTAAAAATTGCATTCACATGGTAGAAAATAACGAGCAAAAAAATATATGAGATTTTATAACTTACTAATCATGTTTTATTTACCGAACTTCATACAATACATGAGAAGCATGGTACAATGGAATCACAGTTTAACTTATCAAGACCTACTGATCTGAAAAAGTTGGTGAACTGTAAATCTCTTATCAAGAAAGCCAAATTAGTGATGTATAGCGTGAAATTAAGTGAATAGACAAACATTTTGAAAAGTAACTAAATCGACATTTTGTAATTCCGTAATGAATTGCTACTGAGAAAAACACCTAAACTGTGACACTGACATTCATAGCTCTTTATATACCATTAGAACTGAAAAGACAGTGCGACAAGGTTGAAACAGAGAAGCATTGCTTTGAGGTGACTTTAAGTTGGGAATCAGAATAAAGTTGACAAAGTCGCATCGGTTTGGGTTACATATTAAACTCATGAAGCAATATGATCATTTTACACTTTTTTAGACAACATATAGTGCCAAAGTATCTGTATTTTAGTATGTTACATTGAGTTTTAACTACAAACTTCCAGTGGATTTAAAATAGAACAATCAAAATGGATGTAGTCTAAATAAAAAGCTGTCTTAGAGTAAAAATCATATTTGTAAGCCTCAGGTTCATATTACAAGCAAACTCACCGGGTCTTTTTGCCACATGCACAGTACTAGCAGACGAATGGACAGGTCTTGCTTTATTTGTCGTAACGTTTCCAGAAGTAGTGACAGAACGAGACATTGTTAAACGTTCGAATACAGAAATAGTTGGTTGTCTAGATCGTCTCTCAATAGAGTTGGAACGTGTAGAACTAGTGGAATCTGAAGGTGGGACCATATTTTCCAACTTAGCTATAACAGATGAGATTAGGTATTGATATTCATAGAATTTCCTTGATTTAGAAAAATCACAAGTAGTAAAATCACAGTTGATTATCTTAAATAATCGGCTTATTCTTTGAAGGAAAAGATGAAGCAATATGCCAAATGAGATTTCGATTAATGAATTAACACAAAACTTAATCAATTACACGAGAACACCAAAATGAGCTATTTTCTCCTAAGTGACCAAGTTAAATGTTATTTAGCTTAAAATTGTCCTATGGTATATTGTTAAACAACTAAAAACTATATACAAATGATCTCACGGTAAAAATATTCATCAATTAACTGAATATTGTACTCTGGAGAATGTCAGCTATCGTGTCACTATAGTATTCGTAAATGAAACTAAGTGAAAACTAAATGGTATAGATTCAAATTGAAAAGTAAATTGTGTTCAAACTAAGTCCCTTTTATTTATCATAAAAATGTTGAAAAAGAAAAAAATCACAACACAAACCATTTAGGATGCACACTTAACTAAATGAAGTCATTGAGAATATAAAACATCAACAGAATATTGAAGAAGAAAAAACATCTAAGACGTTTGGTGTAAAATTCGCTATTGAATAAATCAGATGTAACAACAATGTGTCACCGACCTGGAAAATTTAAGCGAATTTTCAATTCATTATTTTGAATAACATTGTATGAGTTGTTTCTTTACAGCAACAACAACATCGAACTTTTCACATAAATGATCATTTAGAATAATTTCGAAATACAACTGAACACTTGGTCAAATTTGAAAAAGTTAAAGAAGTAGATCACTTTTCCATAAATCATTACAAATATCATGATCACAGAATTTTATACCGTTAAGGTAAATTTTGTGATTTGATTACAATTCAGTAACAATTTCATGAATATGAAGATTACTGAAAACAGATTCTACTAGAAAATCTAGAGACAAACGAACTCTGGAGATAATCGTCACTCTGATCTATTTTTACGACAAGGGGGTTTTCATAATTTAAATTACGAACTGATTTTAGATAGACTACCATGGGAAACCTGGGAGCGATAAACACCTGTTTTGTCTTAGGATAGGACTCATTAACAGTGGGGATCCACAATCCCACCGCAAAGAATCGAATAAAAGACAGTAAGTCTCACACGCAGACGCCTAACCTTTAGACCATTGAGCCGTCACACAATGGTGTAATGTCTAACTTCAAACAATTCATGATAGCTCACGAAAACTGTTCATTTTCTATGGTGGATGACTATTCATCTATGGCTAATTAATGAATGTAAATGAGTTAGTGTAACTGATTCCACGAGAAATTACTCTGACAAATTTAAAGTAGAGCTAGTAAACAAGTCAAAGACGAGAATGAGAAAGACTGTAAAGGTTGTTAAATGTTCCGTGGGTACTAATTCTGACATATAAAGTTCAAAATATAGAATAACCCAAGTAACTAAAACTACAAAGAGTACACGTTCAATATGAACGATGAGAGATATCAAGATAGTAAATAGTTTGGATAACAGCTAACATTAGAATCTAGAATGAGAATGCTGTCCTATTTAAGACTCATTAGTTAAATGTACCAACCTTTTTTCCTGATTTGCCCAAAAAGAGTAAATTCCACTGATAACCATCTTCAAAATATCCACTTTTTAATCGAGGGAATATCTAGAGATGATGGGGAAGATTTGTGACTCAAATGAGTGGTTTTGGAGGAATTTCAATCTCTGAGCTGGATGATTTAAGTATGAAGTTTTCATTGTCTTTCTGGGCATCATCAAACAGAAATGAGATTTGAGAACGCAACTACACTAGTGCTTAGAAATCTATTAAGAGAGCTCGTAATCCGAAAAAAAGTCGATTATAAACACCACGGAACTTAAAACGTTTACAGATATTAAAAGCTATCAGTATGTTTTGAACAAAGACATGTTTGAGTATAAGCGTATTTTTTCCAAGAATGGTGTCAGAGAGGTGAGTTTTTGGTCAAGAATTAATGAAGGAAATGAGAAAAATGAGTATAGTAATAACATCACAAACATGAAAGCGATATTTTACCTGTATGTTCTTTCGTTTTCGATGTATTTGCGGGTGCAGTAATATGTTTTGGCACTTTGGGATGATGATTAAGACGCCCAATTTTATCACATTCGTTGGATGAATTAGATCGACTTGAAATTACTAAAATTAAAAGTGGTAGACCATTTAGGAGTTTAAAAAAACATATGTATGATGACAAAAATCGGCATGCAATTAAAACACCTACGATGATTTAATTAAGAGATTATTTTCACGATGAATGGATAAAGTGACCAGATTGATTTGATGAAATAAGCTGAGGTGATGAAAACGACGAGTACACCGAATAAAACATATTTGGAAATGCACTATACACTAATTACAATACACACAAATGTTGCTTAAACTCTGTAATCCTGATTCTAAATAAAATATGAGTTGAGTACTGTTAGACCCCAATTAAGACGTGAGGTAATCATGTAAAAATGATCAAACATCGAGCTGATTTACTTGACAACTGACGAATAAGTTATTGATAGAATTGAAAGACTATGAACTACAAAATCCCGTGTGTGATACGTTGTTTTTAATAAGTGATCAGCAACACCAAAAACTACAAATACAAAAACACTAATATCTCTATTCATTGCTAAACTGTCAACATGGCTAACTCAATCCCATATATTTACGATAAATTAGTAAGCTACAAACTAAGCTTATCAAAAGATTTGAATAGATCTAAACCAAAAAGATAAAAATAAATCAATTAAGTAGCAAATAACAGTACAACATGAAGATACAAACAGATTTCTTTTTCATGAATAAACAGGCAGGCAGATTACCACATTATTGATTTATATAACACTTTCAACTAATCACAGGATGTGATATGACAGACACCGAAAATAAATATGAAAAGCAATGTATTATAGTTTAATTAATGAGTTTTGAGCAAATTCAATGAAAGCTAGAAAAATAACCGTATTTACTCGCACTCATATACATGTGAACACATCAGAAAGCGAACAAAATTGATAACGAGATGCTAGAAGAAATATACACAAACTTAATGGTATACATGTGAAGCTAAGGCACATTTAACTTAAACTTATTGTCTTTCGATTCAGTGGTTGTTACATTAAAAACCACAGATTTATGAAAGTTCATTTATAACATATCTATAACTTGAAGTCTACTCATCACATTGACAATCCTATTTTATAATGGAGCAGTAATTAGTTACTTAGTTTACTTTGTAAGCATTTATTTTATTTATTTGAACACATAATTACTGGTACGAGGGGGCACCAGTTACATATGCGCCACACAAATCTCATTTGATTTGTGTGAGGGCTGGGATACTGCCCGGGTGCCCAAGCCGAAGCAGGTGGTTTTCCTAGGGTGTCACGCCCGGAGCCTTCGACCTGAAGGTCTGATCCACAAGGCAGTGGAGCATCGTAAGGAGATGCAGTCCCATGGTAGCCGGTGACCAACGACCGGTTCATACGCCATTTGTTTCCTCAGGATGCTGGAGCCCATGTGCACCATTGGTTTGGAATCAGGGTTTTCCAACTGCCCTGGTATGGCCGAGAGTGGGGTGGGTTTGTCCGCCCTCTCGAAATACTCTCACACGGCCGCGCGTATACAGCCTCTGTCAGGGAAGTCCTACTCACTGCCTTCTCGTGGCATTAGTGTTGTTTACGAAAATGAGAGGACGAAAAGCGAATGTCCGGCGCTTTAATCTGATTCCAAATCTATGGTGCACATGGGCACCAGTATCCTGCGGGAACAAATGGCGTATGAACCAATTTTCGGTCACCGGCTACCATGGGACTGCATCTCCTTACGATGCTCCACTGCCTTGTGGGTCAGATCTTTAAGTCAAAGGCTCGGGGAGTGGCCCCCTAAGGTAACCACCTGCTTCGGTCTGGGCACCCGGGCAGTATCGCAGCCCACACGCAATTAATGAACTGAAATTGTGTGGCGCATATATATTTGGCGCACTCCTGTACCAATATATATGTGTTCAAATAAAATAAAATAAAATAAAATAGGTGGACTCTCAGTGTCCACCAACCCGGCTAAAATGCCGGACATCCGCTTTTCGTCCTCTCAATTCTGTAAACAACATCCCCCCCCCACGAGAAGGCAGTGAGTAGGACTTCCCTGGCATAGGATATATACGCGTGGCCACATGAGAGCATTTCGAGAGGGAGAGCGGACTCTCCCCACTCTCGGCCGTACCAGGGCATTTAGGGGCTTTTAGGCATTACAATAACTAAACTGTCAACTTGCAAACAACACTAAAACATTGAAAGCAAATTATTATCCAGGTTCATTATTATTAAATACAACAGCCTCACTATAAAAGACTTAACGTATGCATAAAGATAACTTGGTAATCAATGTGAAACATAAATTTAGGAAGCCAACAACCATGATTAGTCTTTAAAACTTACACTGAATAACTCTTTTAATTTTTAAATTAATAATAATAAATTTATAATAAGACAAGAATATCCAAATAGCATGATAGCTTTTGCAACAAATAATATTGAAATACTACAAGAAAGATCCTGGTTAAATTGATTCAAGTTAATTTTGTAAACACACGGATGCATGTTTAAAAAACTCCAGAACAGAAAGTTAAAATGCGGATTAAGATAAATCGTGAGTGCACTAAACAAGCGACAAAAAGTTAATCACCAGTTTATTGAGAATGCTGAGTATTATATGGTGGCGAAATGATAAATTAACTTTCTATCCTACCAAAATAATAAAATTACATTTTAGACTACATTAGTGTAAATATCTACGTTTAAAGAGTAGCATGCAAGTATAATTAGCTTGAGAAAACCCGAATAAAAGTATGAGAGAAGCTTCACCGCATGAATGAATGAAAGCTGAACATATATAAAAGCATATATGAGAGATATAAGAGTCGGCATGCATGACATATGATACTCCGTTTCAGAGAAAACAACGTTTTCGTATGCGGGGGTAGCAGGCACGATAGGGATGCAGACAAACCTTCACTGGTTCGATTACTCTCGACATTGTGCCCATCAGGAACTGTGGTAGTGTTTGGGGATTTCAAGACTTTAGTGCTGATAGGTTGACCATTTTTGAAAACAGTGTCTTTGTTAGTAAGAGAATTTTGTTGACGTCGAGCATGAGTAACCCGAGTGAATGAAGACTTAGTATGACGCAAAACAGAGGCATGAGCTGAAGCAGCTCGCCTAGACTGCGTTACACCTCGATTACAGGGCCTCGATTTATACACAGAGATTTGAGGCCGAGGTCCATGTGATGTATCTATAAAGCACGAATAATAAGGTGCTGCAGCTGCTGTAAAAAAGCACCCACTATGTCGACCGGTAAGGTAGCTAGCTAATCGCGCTTCAAAAGCCTGTTTCAAACGTAAAGCTGCTGCACTTGGTTGCGTACATATAGAGCGCGGAGCGCTGCTTCCAAAGGCGACCACACACGAAGTTGTCATAAGAGTGCTTGGATTTCGCGAGGTTCCCAAAGAAGGAGAAGCACTTGCAGTACGGCCAGAGTGATCATGTTCTGCAAACTGGCGGCGAAATGTATTGTTTCCTGAACGGTTAGCCGACCGTTCTCGAAGTCGTTCTATCCGTGCCTGAAAAGAGAATTTTTAAAAAATGAGTTTGTGGCAATAAGAAAGATTATGAGAGGATTCGGATAAACTTGAAAAGATATCAAAAATCCTACGAAAATTGTACGAAGGAGTGGAGAAACTAAACATAAAACTCGTATGTCCGGTGAAAACACAAAAGATACTCTGAATCTATCTGAAATACTTCTCAAACCGAAGCGAAGTAATAATTTCTACTTAATAATTACGCTTTAATTAGATGACTTTTGCTTGACTTAAATAATGTGATGAAATTAAATTTATCTTTTGTCTTAAACGCGAAAATAGATGGATGATATGACGGGACGAAAAGTTAAAATTATATTGATTTACTCATTATGGTTTCTGTTCAACATTACTTCCATTTTTAAATCAATGTAATGGTTACTCAATGTAGTATTTGTTTTGTTTCCCCGTATAACATTTTATTATGTATAATACACGATATTCTTGTATTAAGTTAACATAAACTACATTCAGCATATGATTTGTTATAACTAATTATTTTTCATATATGTGATTTTATTCTAATTATTAATCAAAAATGGGTGTATGAATCAATATATAAACGTGTATTTTCGACTAAACTTTCTCCTATAAGTAGTTACTTTATTCGATAAAATATAATTGGAAGTAGCTTATATTAGAAACCCCGACCGTAGCTGCTACCTTAACGTGATGGTCGGGCTTGCCTATCGTGATGACCCAACCGAACTATATTGGCTGGAACATATGTTCCTGCAGGTTCTATCATGCTAGGAAGGTCGATTGGAGAACGGTTAGACTAAAAGCAGTAACTCAAGGTCTGAGGGCGAAGTCGTACTGCTGACTGGAGAGGAGTATGACAGCAGTAAGGTGTTTCCCTCGGACAACCAGAAACTGCAGCGACGCTGTCTTCTCACAAGGAAGGAAGGGGTTAGAAAAGGTCCACTCTAAAAGTGTCACACCTCACCTTAACTCACGGATTTCCGTCTCTGGCAATAAGGCCCTTTAAAGAACGGAGCTAACATAATAAAAAAACTCCCACGGTATGGCCGTGCGCGACCGCCCTCAAGTTGTCCTTTGGGCTCTGCGGTCACGCTCCCAGGCCGTCAAGACCAACACTTATCCGACTTCTTTTACAGGTTCCTCAAGAAATACCCTTCCACGGTGTGAGCAACCGGGTAGTGATATCAGCCATCATACTCGTAACATCACAAGAGACCAAGTCGGTCACATTCAAATCTTCCCCACATATCCTAATAATCCTTCTCACGTCCCTTCATCACATCACACCGCTAGTGCAAACGATTCGACAACGCAGAACTTTATTCCTGGTCTCCTAAAACCACACTCCAAACTACATGTAGGAGCTTTCAACGTTCAAACACTGTGACAAATAGGACAACAGACTTCCTTAGTTAGGACTTTAGAATCTCGCGCTATCCATGTGTGTTGCGTCTCTGAAACGCGCATACAGGATCCGAGTAGTGTCATTCATTTGACATCACCATATCAAAACAAAGAACCATCTCGATTCATGCTTCGTGTATCTGGAAGCCCTGATGCTGCTTCTTGTGGCCTCGCCGGTGTAAGTATAGCATTGAGTCCCAGAACAGAACTCTCTTAGACTGCATCCCAGTAGACAGTCGTTTGTGCGCTGTCCGACTAAACGGAACAGTGAGGACTCGGAAAGATAGTGACACTTGTCGTTACCTCTTCGTCGTCTCTGCCTACTCTTCCACTGACTGCAGCTCAGACGATGTAAAAGATGAGTTTTACAGAAAGCTTTTCGACCTCCTCCGAAAAACTAGGCATTCTGGTGTAGTGATAGCGGCTGGTGACTTTAATGCTCAAGTAGGTAAACTGGGAGAAGGGGAAGGACACCTGAGTGGATCTTATAGTGTCGTGGCTCAAAGAACAGATAATGGCGACCGTCTATTGCAGCTATGCTCAGATAACCGCCTGTTTCTTGCAAATACTATATTTAAGCATAAGGAAAAACATCTTTCGATATAACGAACACCGAATTCGTCCCAACGTTGGACCCAAATAGATCACATCGCTATCAGCCACCGATGGAGGGGCTTGATTGGAGACTGTCACTCGTTCTGGAGTACATGCTTAGATTCAGATCATGCTCTAGTGCGAGCGCGTATTTGTCTGTGTCCCACTGGACGTAGGAAAGACGCTGCAAGGAAGCCTCGTAGGGTCCTACTTATTGATAGCCAAGCTAAGAATATATTTCAGCAACAACTAGAAAAAAACAGTTAGGCAGCCATTTATGTTATGCATACCCCGAAACAGCGTGGGATGATATTCGAAAAGCTGTGGAAACAGCAGTGATATCTGCTAGTACGGTTAACCACAAGTTAGGGAGAAACACTGGATCTCAGCAGCATCTACCGCACTGATAGATGCTCGAAAACTCATCCCATCTGGCTCTGAACATAACGAAGAGCAGAGTCAGCTTAAGCGCAAGCTGACAAGAAGCCTACGCAATGATCGTGAACAGTGGTGGGTAGCGAAAGCAAGAGATGGGAAAGGCAGCGGCAATAGGTAACAGCAGACAACTGTTCAAACTTGTTAAGGAAACTGGTATTAGGAAACCGACTGTTAGCGAAACAATCTCAGAGGAAGATTGACATATTATACATTCTCAATCCAGGAGATTGGATTGATGGGGAGAGCACTTTAGGGATCAGTTCAACTGGCCTTCAGCCACACTTCAATTTCCCACGATCACCAGTCAACCTGAATGGCAAGTTAATATAAGTCCTCCAACTCTTTACGAAGTTGAAAGAGCTATAGGAATGGTGGAGAAGATTTGTAGCTCAGGTGGATGATTTTGATGGAGTTTTGTTCAGAGAACAAAACTCCATCAAAAAGAGCTATAGGAAACCTGAAACGAGGGAGAGCAGCAGGGGTTTACTCCTGAGGTTTTTAAGGATAGTGGTTCAGTATTAGCAGTGAGATTGACTGAGGTCTTAGGTAGAATTTGGGAACTGAACGTAATTCCATCTGACTGGTCTCAATCACTGATTGTGCCAGTCTATAAGAAAGGACAAAAGTCCTCTTGTGACAATCACAGAGGAATCAGTTTGACTAACACAGTGTCTAAAATATTAGCTTCAATAATACTTCGACGCCTAACTAAACCTCGCGAAGAGCAGACTAGAGAAAACCAGGCTGATTTTCAACCTGGATGTGGTTGTATAGACAAGATATTCACACCACGTCAGTTCCTAGAACATAGACACACATTCAGACGCCCCACAATAGTAATATTTCTCAACCTCAAGGCGGCATATGACTTTGTTGATCATGAGGTTCTGTGACAATGTTTGTCACTGTAAGGAGTACCAAAGAAGTACATTAACCTTTTAAAGGCTCTCTACTCAAACACAACTGGCCGAGTGAGAGCTTATGACGAACTGTCATCAGAATTGATTACCTCCAGTAGTGTTCGTCAGGACTGTCCACCCTCTCTATTCTTGTATGACTTTGTCGTTGACGTGCTTTCAGAGACAACATTTTCTCCATCTAAATTTCCAGGAGTTGAACTTTTACCGGGAGATTCACTTGTTGACTTAGAATATGTCGATGACACAGTTCTACTTGGTGAAGACACTGACAAAATGCAGTCTTCTGACCACTATAAGCAACAATCCAACCATGTTCGGCATGCGATTCTCCCCTCGAAATGCAAAATGTTTCTTCAGGATTGGGTTGCACCGACACCCCAACTAATGATATGGAGTGAAGTAGTTGAGCGTGTCGACCGCTTCACTTATCTCAGAAGTCTCATCAGCCCTTGTGGTCTGTTGTGTGACGAAATCTCAGCACGGATACAGAAGGCTCGACTAGCTCTTGCCAACTTGCGTCATTTATGGCGTAGGGGAGATATCCGTTTATCAAACGAAGGACCGGTTTACTGAGCAGCAGTTTGTTCCGTTCTACTTTGTGGCAGTGAAACATGAGCAGTAAGAGTAGAAGACATTCGTAGGTTACTATTATTTGATCATAGGTGTCTTCGAAACATTGCTCGTATATCCTGGGACCATCGAATAAGTAACGCAGTTGTTAGAAAACGGGTACTAGGTAAGGATGGCAAATCAATTGATGAAGTAGTGAAAATTCATCAATTCAGATGGTTGGGACACGTGTTACGTATGCCCAACCACCGACTGCCCCGACGTGCGATGTTCAATGGTATAGGAGTAGGTTGGAAGAAAGCCAGGGGTGGCCAGACCAAAACGTGGCACAAATCCATCAAGTCACTGACAAGTGGACTGAGCCATGACGGTAGGTGTAGAATACCTGATTGGGATCCGCGAGACAACAGCAACCGATGGTTAGAGACCTTGAATGACATGGCTCAAAACCGTTTGCAATGGCGCAGGTGCATCACTCCTTGTGTTCTCCCAAATTCTGATCTTCTGGACTCTTCGTGTCCCTTTCTAAATTTATTTCACTGGATTATACTCCTTGAATAACATCTTCAAGTCTTAATCTTTCCGATTACTGCATATAATTTTACTACTTCCACAACTACGGGATTTGAATCGACAACTGCATCTCTGTATGGCAACTCGAACTGATGTACGTACGTACGAAGTTCTACGTTGTTACTAACTGATTGACTGATATTAGAAGCTCATTTAAAGCGTCAACACAAATCGAAATTTCGACACGCAGTTTCTGCAGCATTTTTAAACCATAAATGCATGTTATTGTAAAATCGAAAATAGTCTAGTGACAGGATTAACTGAAGTCTGTCTAACACTAATATAAGTAACACGTAGAAAACGAAAAATATCAAGAAAGCCCTTTTTCACATACTTTCGTTCGCGCACTTGAATAGTATCACTAGCCCTCAAACACTAAATCGAACACACTACCCTGTGTTTAGTGAAATTAGATCATGGAGAAAAATAACTTAAATGTCATTTTCATTACAAATTTCCACTAGAGGAAAACTAAATACTAAGAACTGATAACAAATATGAGATGAAAATTATTGTGAAAATAGTCCGTCTATTGGCAAACGATAAAGTAAAAAGTGCGAAAGAAAGAATCCTGCATTGGGATTCATGGTATACAGCAAGTCATAATCAAGCCAGTTTGAAGCAAATGTGTAATAGCTGGTTCTCACACCAGATCAAGATAGTGGGATGAAACTAGCACAACTTATACTTGTAACATATCTTTAGAAATGTTATTTATAGGTAGAAATATCAGTGGAACTTGGCAGAGGAAAAGCAGCTGATGGTTCCCATCACGGAGGGTTTTAAAATAAATAGTAAACGGTTTTCGGACTGTTAGAATGGAATGCCTATCGATAGATGAAATGCAATGAGATGATGTGGTCGTGTGATGGCTGCTGATGGAACAGAATCATTGACTCGAAATCCTGAGTGATTTGATATCAAAAACGATCACTTGCCAGATGATTTCTAGTAAAGTGATATACTTATATACGCACTACTAGTAGTAAAATAAGGATGACCAGACACCATTGGGAAATGCAAAAAGTTAATTTTGTAGGTTAGTCGCTTTCTGACTACAATCTAACTCTTAAGCCTAATTCTTCCATAAGTGTTAACTAGAACAGGAGATATTTGGACATAAAGCCCACCACCCAAATACCTTATTAGATGTTAAACTACTGAGAGAAATTATTAACAAGTTAATAATTAGGAAAAGCCTACTTGATTAGATAATTCCAAGGCTGCACGTCGTTCTAGTGCACTAAGTCGGCGCATTTGTTCCTTTTGTCGCATTTCTTCAATTCTGCGCTTTCTTTCCTCTTGTTGGCGCATACGTGCCATTTCGGCTTGTTGTTGGGCTTCTACGTAGGCTGCGTAACGTTGCTGCTGTTTAAGTTGTTCAGCGGCTCTAACGCGCTTGAGTCGTTCTTCTATTGACAGTGAAGCACTTGAACTTTGATTTGAAGGAGCGTGGTAATGTTGGGAGCTATCAGCGCTATTTGGTCTAGTGAGCTCTGTTTTGGTAAAATGGAGCGGTAAAAAAAAGGTAATCATACTAGACAGTACTCAATATACATTTGTATCGGTTCTAAGCTGTTACACAACAAATCTGCAACAGAAAACTGAGAATAACAGAACTAAGCTGTGGCACTTTCCAGGAGCACGCAAAAGAGAATTTAGTGGATCACAAAAATACACGAACGGACATGAGACAGTATGTCTGAAATCCAAATTAAGTTGAAGTAATAAAACTGATAGTAAACCAGTATGGAACTCAAGTGAATAAACAACGTTCCTTCTTCGGAACCATTTTCAACATTGGTGTCCGTAACTTGTTGGTGTCCATTCATCTAGCCTTGCTCCAAAGACGTCTTTGACAGAATTTCTAAAGTTTTATCTCCCTTCAGGGGTAAGATTAAATACCTCTTGATAAACATTTGTCTTTGATTTGCAAGGCAATACGGTATTCTGGAACTGTGCTAGGGAAGTATTGAGAAACTCATATGAAATCGTGAAAGCTCTTTACAATAGCAATTCATATATAACAAGGTCATACACTAGCTGTTCTGAACCATAGGCTGAACTAGATGCAAAAGCACATCTTCCTTAGGTAATTATAAATGACAATTCCAGACAAGATCTGGAGGAAGTGTGTCATGGAGATGAGTACCCATTATCTCGGCAAAAGCTTTTCAACTTTGAGTAGACAGTAATACAACAAACAAACTACTGAAATCCCCGTCACTCGGTAAGTAAAGTTTGTGCATGAACGATGGATTCTGGGCCACCGAAACAGAATTTGCTTATGTACGAGTGGTAGACGCCCAATTTATTAGTATAAATCATCGTTACTGAACTAATCTGAGGTGCACAACTCGGCAGTGATGATAGTCCTGCCCTATGGCCTACAACTCTAAATAGAGGACATTTGACGCCTTTCGGTATGCAAGCTTTTCTCGATAATGACTGTGAGGAAGATGGGCTGTCAGTCTGACATGGTGGAGTGTGATGAACGACCGTAGTTCCACACGAAAAGCTGTCGAATCATGACTTTCCACATGCAGTCGTAGAAACCCTACAAATACATTCAAAACGACCGAGTCAAGGTCGGTAGCAGTCCTGCTGTAGTTTGTTTTCCATGAGGATCCAAACTTAAAACCTTGCTTACGCTATTAAATTTTCTTTGATAGCAGACACGCAGAGACATATATTCAATCCATTCTTCGAAGTTAGATTAGCTGTGGCTTAGACAAGATGACCCGTCACCTTTAGTCGTGTTTACAAACATCTGATTGATGGTCTCAAGTGTATGGTGAATTTAAACCGAAAACTAATGATCCCTCCGACTAATAGGCTTCAAAGTATGTAAACATGTTAGTATTCAGACTGCATTTGAAGTTGAGTCGTGTCCAAACATTGAGAGACAGAATGCCTATTTGAACGAAGTACACACTTAGAATAAGAGATGATTTAGTAGTCGTTATTATCAAGCTGATTGAAGAAAAAACTAGGTCGCATAAGGGGAGGAACACATCCACAAGTCTACCTTTGGGTGGTTCTTGTCTTTGTACTGCTTTTAGCATACTGACCAGTGGGGATACAATATGAATCACAGAAAAATTGTTAAGTAGGGACAAACCTGGATCTTGAGTTGCGCTTCCAGATCCCGTACTATGAGACCCATTAGGCACTTGCTCATCAAATGATTGGCTATATATCCCATTAATCTCCATGGCTCCCTACAGAAATATTATGAAAAACAATGATCATTCTTAGGTACCTATAGCGAAATGGCAACAGGAAATTGTAGTATATTCAGGAACACTCACAAACTACTTGTACCCATACATTCGTAAAACTACTTTTCAAGCACCGCCAATAGGCTTAGGAATAAATATGGGAACATTCATCAGAATAAAGCAAAAACGTTATTAGTTCCTCACGAAATTAAATTATTTTTTTCTGCAAAGAAGTGTTAGATCATTCAAGGTTTCATGTTAAGTACTAGACCGGCCTCAAGGCTGTGGAAATGGGTCCTAGGGGTTGTAGCGGCAAATGATTAGAAAAAATAGATAATTTTGTGAGTCTTTGACATCAATTCCGACTTCGTTAGTTTTACTGGACGCAAATAGCTGAAAGCTCTCAATCACACGTCCTCACCAGGTTACTAGTGGGTATGCTGTGCTACGTGTCCCTTACAATTAATAGACAATCTCAAAATGTCAATAGCCCTCCAAATTCATCTTAGAACCCATTGATTTTCAACTTCTGATTTGACTGGGTTGGTATAGTTTGGTTGCGAAGATATTACGTGTAAAGTCGTCGAAATCCGAATACTTGTGGCATCTTTAGTAATGAGCCCGGCGTGATCTGGAACGCCAAGCAATATACTGTTAGTTCTTTCCTTGCTGTAACTCAGTATATTATTTTTTAATATTTTTAAATAATTGGTTTTGTATTTTCGAATGTTTTTCTCCCATTTGTATATTATGTCTCCTGCTACGTAGAAGCTGACTTTCATGGGTAAGGCGCAACAGACTCACATGATCACGTGCAGTTGTGAAGGCACTAACGAGCGATTTTATTTAATACGTCCCACCTACTATGTTTATTGGTGATTTCTGAACCTTTCGACACTTAAAAGGAGGTTATCTTTAGACGTCGGGAATGAACCGACCGACAAATATTAGGTGACCTCTCCTACAACGTAGAGTCCCAACACAGCTCAGCAACAAATAACGCTACGTATGAGAGAGGCCGTTTGTTGACGAACCTTTGCCTAGAGCCCTTTCAGACAGCTCTTGTTGTCCAAGCTTCCCCAAGAAGTGCACGCGGTTCTTGTCTCACTCTACAATAACGACGTAAACGAACTGAATATATCTGCCGACCGGATTCAGGAGACTATCAGGACCCCCCGGAACTGTGGTATATGTTAGATATATATATATATATGACGTTGGTGAATTTTAAGTTACAGACAAGCTTTTTAAAATCAGGATCTAAACTCTGGATCTTCAAAAAAGAGGGAGGTGTTATATCCTAGCGAAGATTGAATTACGAGTAACCATTAGTGGACTAATATTACTAACATATTCTAACTGTATAACTATTCAGTTACTAGATTATGTATATTTATGTTCATCTTATTATAAGCTTTGTTTTCACCTATAGATTAATTATTGTACGATTCACTGTCCTTAAATTATACTCACTTTATTGATTACCATCTCCCACGCTCAAAGCCACTTTCAGCTTTATCGTGTATAAATTTTACTTCGTATTTTATGATGCGATGCGATCTGTTTGGCTAGTATATAAACCAAGTATGTCTGAAATAAATGATTCGCATAGCGGAAGCTGTTGTTGGTGTTCTGGACTAAACTGGACAGGCTTTGGGAGCAAAGGATCAATAAGCATGATAGGTTATCAGACCGCTCAAACGTCATTTTTTTAGTAAAGTACAAGAGTGAATACGCCGTATTTCGATTGACGGATAAAAAACTTTATAACTAGCCGAACATAAAGTCACAACAGTTTATACTATAAGGAAAAGTCTCCCTATACTACGAGAGGCAGGCAACCCTGGTTAATGTCGGTACCGCAAAAACCTATGGTACGTCTTCTAGGAATTTCAGAAAATCCATCGGTTTCTCAATCGTAAATCTGTCTAACATGAATAATCCTTCGAAAAACATCCCCACCGAGACGCGTTTACTGCAACTGTAGCCGGCGGAAACAGTCGTCTCTTATACATCACCGATGTGGTGACGAAAGTTCTGTATCTCGCTTACATTGACGCAGGATTCTAATGACCGTTTGCAAGAGCCGGTCTTCAACCTACAGGTGGCAAATGGAAAACCGTTCGCCACATATGGTAAGAGACATTTATGTTGACGTGAATTGACGCAAACTCATTCACCTAATTTTCGTTGTTGCAAGTGTTTCTATGTCAAACATTGGTGTGAACCTGCTACAACAACATAATCTACTCATTGACCCAGGAAAGCGGAGGTTACTGGATGGAAATACCAATTTATCTATATGTGGAGCTTCATTTTCTGGTAACAGGCTATATCCATTTACGGTTAAGAATAAAAAGTGATATATACCTCCAACGGATGCTGAACGAGTACTCTGAAGTGTGTGTCAACTTTGACAAAAATTATCACGCATAGTCACTAGTGTTGTACGCCACATCATGGCTATAGGATTTTCGTGTCTTAAGATAACCCTCGTGCTATTGATAGAAGAAACCAGACAAGTAGTGAATAGGTCTTTATTTCGATCTTCGCACAGTCACAGTGGAGCGTGGGATTATCTGCTCAGACAAACAAGGGCTCTCAACATTCAATATAAGATAAAAGGGAATATAACGCTTATACAAAATAAGGAAGTGAATGAATACTTGAACAAAACTGTTTTGGCATATGCTTGGTTGTTTGGGGTCAACTTTTAAACAACCAACCTAAGCTGTTACATTAGCTTCCCCCTACGATCGACTTCCGCAGGAACGTCCGTTCGATTAACCTATCTTTCGAAAACACCTTAGTTCTATTTCTCATCCCAAGGGAAAATTATCAACTCGCTCACTGTTTGACTTACAATCAGTGACGACTAACGCTGTCAGCTGTCAACGATAGTGCATGGATGTCTGTTCATTTACTAGCTTGTCATCTTATTTTGTAGCATGTGATTTCTTCTACAACTATCGCTGAAGGTTTGCTGCGTGCTTTCAAGAGAAAGAGTGTGAGAATGTGGAATAAGAATATCTGAGGAAGTGCCGAGAGCGGGCTACCCAACACCTTGTTGGTGAGGTACGATTTTTCCATGCTCAGACCGGCTATCATGTGTTTAATCACCTGCCTCTTGAGTCGCCCTCAAGTAAAAAGTAAAGAAGAATCTACTTCAAAGGTAATGGTGGAAACCAATCAAACCTGAAGAACTGCTCTACTGCCTGCATAAAAATAATAAGAAACAAACTGGAAATACATAAATATAATTGATAATTTTTCGGTTCCACGTAAGTGATTGGCCTCCAGAAAGGATTGGTATTCTTCAGTTTTCAGTCTTCAGTCTTCAGTAATAAGGATAGTAGGTTGATGAACCTGTGTTAATCCTGACACATTGCTTTCCAGTGAAGGTCCAGCTTTTCCTTGAAAGTATTCACTGATGGGGCTGATACCACTTGTTCGGGTAAGGCGTTCCAATGATTGACTACTCGATGAGAAAAACGGGATCCCACTTTAAGTTTATTAGATCGTGGTTTATGAACCTTCTTGCTATGACCTCGGAGATTATTAGTGCTGGAGGGAGCAAAAAGATAAGACATATTAACACCCAAATCATAATTAAAGATACAAAATGCCAGTATAAGGTCACCTCGTGTCCTACGATACGATAAGGGGAAAAGATTTAGGCGTTTTAAGCGCTCATCGTAAGGGAGTCTAGAAAGACCCTTCACTAATTTCGTTCCCACACACTGGACACGCTCAAGGGAGTTAGTATCCTTTACTAGACACGGGCTGGCTGCTTGGATACAGTACTCTAAATGTGGTCTAACATATATGGGATATAAAATTCGAAACGTTTCCTCGTCAAAAGATTTGAACGCTCGGCGAAGTGACCATAACGCACGAAAACCTTTGACAGCGGCTGCTTTGCAATGCGCAGTTGTTTTTAAGTCATGACTTAATATTACTCCTAAGTCCTTATGCTCTTGAACGCATGGAAGAGGTTTACCCTCAATAGTGTAACGGTAACTATTACTGTGACCGACGTGCATTAGTACACTCTTCCTAGCATTGATTTCTAAGCCCCACTCTCGAGCCCATCTAACTAAATCGTCTAAGTCAGCTTGAAGATCCACATGATCAGCCGCACTTTTTATTGTTCTCCAGATTTTTACATCATCCACAAACAATAATGTCGACGACCTAAGTAACAGCGGTAACTCATTAACGTAGAGAAGGAAGAGCAGAGGGACTAAGATGGTGCCTTGGGGTACACCACTTTTGACCGGCTTCCAATCGGATAGCGTTCCATTGACCCTAACTCTCTGTCTGCGGTCACATAAGAAATTTCCTATCCACTCATGTACAGTACCTATTATTCCGAAGCTCGTGAGCTTCTGCATAAGACCTACGTGTGAAACCTTGTCAAACGCTTTGCTAAAATCTATGAATATCACGTCGACAGACAGACCGTGATCTAGGGCTGCTGTCCAATCCTCCCTCGCAATAAGCAAGTTAGTCAAGCAAGAACGCTTGTTACGAAATCCGTGTTGCTCAGGAGCTAACAGATTGTGTGAATCTATGTGGCTTAGCAACCTAACCCGAATTATCTTTTCGAGTAACTTAACGACTATGCTAGTTAGACTGACAGGCCGGTAGTTAGATACTATCTGTCGCTGACCGTCCTTAAATATAGGACTAACTATAGCGTCCTTCCAATCTCTAGGGAGTTGAGCGAGTGAGAGGGACATGTTGAAGAGTGTCGCAAGCGGTTTTGAAATAATGTCCGCAAGAGATGATAGCAACCGTGGATGTAACCCGTCAGGGCCCGGTATCTTACCAGGTTTGAGGTTAGTTATCAACGGAAGGACAGTTTCCTCAGTCACCTGTACAGATTCAATGGTTGGTATCTCGGTGTGAGTGGGACAAGTATTTGTTACAATAAACGTAGAGAAGACTTCGCTAAAATAATCTGAAAAAGTCTCAGCTTTTGCTCGATCTGA